TCCCCCCTGGGGGGTGATTTCTCGCTTTCTGTCTCTATGTCTCTCTCTGTCTGTCTGGCGAACGCACACGCCCTACAGTGAAAATCTCTCCAAAAAAAAAAAATTGCTGCCATGAGGCCCACGCATGCTAAAAACTTCCTACCCAAGAAGCACAAGAAATCCAGTAAACACTCAACTCCACCTTTCAACACTCACCAGAAATCTAGAATCGTGTCCTTTTTTTAGAGAAAACATGTTGGCCACCCGCTGAGTCTGCCGTAACCAGGCACCACAGCGGGTGTTTTGGTTATGCGCTAATAATAACAGCTGATATTTATAGGGTTGTATTGTGTATCCACAACTTTATTGAAAATTCCATGAGGTATAGCTCTCCGTCCTCACACCGACAGAATAAGGAAGAAACTACTGTTCTCTCTGCTTTACAGGTAGAGAAACTGAGGCCCAGATATCCAGCCACTGTATTAAAGGCACTGATATTTAATATTAAGAGCATTTTTCACCAGAATGCGAACTAGACCTCCCTACAGATTTCATTTAGTTCCCAAATTAGTATGTGCACAGCAACAGCCAACCATGAATGTAAAGTCAAAGAATCCCATGGCACCACAAGAGGAATAACAAGATACAGATGAAGACAAAATACACATGGCAGTAAGATACCCAGGATCTGATCAGAAAAAATGGGTCCCCTAACTAATGAAGGTGACACTCCAGGCTGCATGGTGGCTGCCATCCCCAATGTCCAGCTGGCAGTTCCGCTGGGAAATACAGACCTTGCAATTCCGAGCTGCACCAGAACTGGCCCACTAGAAAGGAAACCCTCTCTCCAGTATAAAGGCTGTAGAGCATCATGTCTGGCCGGTGGGGGTGGCTGGACGTTGGTGGGGAGTAAAGGGGATTAGGAAGGGGGGCTAGGAGGAGGAGTGGGGAGAAAGAAGTTGGAGTTATTGAAAAGGGAACCAAGGCGGACAGGACGGCGGCCAGTAGATGGCCGGTAGGGCGCAGAGGAGGAGCTGGGTTTGGAGACCCACACAGGAGGGCAGGGGCAAGTGTTAGTGTTAGTCAGGGGAGGGAAATGAGTAGGGCGGGAAGATGAAACAGAGGCATCTCGCTGAAGAGTCTGCTGAGAGCTGACAGCTTTAGGAGAGATGGCAGGAAGGTGGCTTGCTGGAGCAGGGCGGGAAGGAGGAAGGCGGGAAGGAGGACGGGGAGGAGGCTGGGGCTTAGAAGGGGCAATTGGGGGAAGCTTTTTGGTCATTATCTTCTCTGACAACACTCCTAGTTACTCATCCACTCTCCACGAGTCAAGTGAGTAACTGGACAAGTGCCCAGAGCTCTTCCAGTATTTATGTCACAGCACCCCTGCCTCCGCATCACCCTGTGACTAAATGCCTATTATGACATGTGCAGACTCCGCCCTACTGGTTAATGCATGAGTTCCACCCACCAGAGTAATGGTCCATCTTTTGAGTTTTAAGAGGTATCAGTACATGGGGCAAGCAGATGGTGTAGTAGTTAAGGTGTAGGACCCACACATCACTGACTGTGGTTCGAGTCCCAGTCTTAGAGGACTGAAAAACATAGCAGGGCACGTGTGTGTATGAACAAAATCCCAGGAGGAGAAGAGAGGAGAAAGGAATGTGATGTGGCCATCCCCACGGGGGGAGATTTCATACTTTTCCTCTTCTCACACATGTCCTGTGGCAACCTCAAAAAATAAATAAATAAGGGTGACCAGGAAGAATGGCAAAGAGTCAAGAGTGGGTTGTCACACCATTCCATGTTGTGGGGATAAATACAGTTGAGTTCCTCAGCATGCAAAAACAGTAAATTCACTCACGCTCTTATGTCCCTGGGTCTACAGGCCCTTTTTGGTTTTCTATCAAATCAGGTTCCCCTGCTAATTTTACTTTATGCTGTAGCTACTTTAGATTCTATAATTCCAAAACATCGGAGACCATCTTACCACCATTTTCAATTGCCTTGATGTGTTATCTTTTTATTGCACTTTTCTAGGGATAAAAATAGAAGGTGATAGATGTCAACTATTCTACTGCCCTGATGTGCGGACTGCTGCTGGACATACATTGCATAGGATTTGGAAACTTGATACTAAATAGCAATGGTCCAACCTCAACTCTGTAGTCTGAAATAATACTCACAATAAATTCCCACTCTGGGACCCACAGTTAATGTAATAGCTATGTCCCTGGACTCCCGTGTAGTCGACCACGGTTTGAGTTCCAGACCTGGTAGCTTAAACTCTCGCCAGGCAATTGTGCGTGTGTGCCCAAGATCCCAAGAGGAGAATGGAGAGAAGAGACTGTGGTGTGGCCATCCCCCCGGGGGGTGTTTTATTGCTTTGTTTTTCTCTGTCTCTGTCTTTCTTGTGAGCGCATGTGCCCTATAGCAAAAATCCTCTCCAAAAAAAAAGAAGAAAAAGGATAAGAAATGAACAGACACTCTGAGCACTTTCTGTTTATAGCTGTGTTTCCCTGTGTTTGAATTTCACTTATTTAACCTGTGATTATGTTCATAGATATATCATTCATCACAGTAGAAAATGAAAAACAGTGTAAAGTCTTTTACCAAATATTTAGGCAAAGTATGGTTACAGCTACATGATAGTGTATGAAAATGTAATCTATCAATCTTGAAGAATAAAGGGTGGTGCACACCTGGGTTGATGGTGTGGCAACATGGCGTGAGGATGAGTATAGACTGTTGATTTGGGGAATTACCAGGGAATTGAAGTTTGCTTCTAGTTACACAAACCTGAAAGCTGTGCGTTGACACACAGAAATGACAAGGTTCCTGACTAAGACTTAGTTGAGAAAAGAGTTTCTCTTCTGAAATTGATACCCAGAATCTCTGGTCTTGATTTTGAGGTCAAAATTTAAACTACATGGTGTGGAAAACCATAGCCAATTTAAAATTGAATCATGGCTCTGGTGGAACACCACTGTAACCATGGCCATGGAGTTTCCCATAAGAAAGCCCAACTGAAGATGACCTCACAATGCAAATGCCAGAACATGTGCACAAATAATTCACAGGAGATTCTCCGCAGAGTTAACACACAGAGATTAATGCATATCCCACTGACAATTTCATATAATTAAAGAAATATAATGACTTGAAACTCTTTTTGTTGCTAGTGGAGACACGTACTTGTCAGAGATAGAGATAGGGAGAGAGAGAGAGAGAGACCTCCAGTGGGGCATCTTTACCTTGCAATGTTTTTCTTCTATTGCTTCACCTTATCTGTATTTTTTGCACATGATCACACAAATGCTTGGATTGTTTTTCAAGCCACCAGGGCTGGAATTTAATTGTGATTAGCCATGTGGGATGTGAGTCCCACCTTCTAACAGCAGGCCTGTCCCAAAAAAAATGTTCATTACTGCCCATGATGGGATATTAGTCTGGACTCAACACTCTTGTTACAAATAACTTGAAAACAAAACAAAACAAAAATACAGGAAATACTCTTTGCTCTTTACATTTTCATAAAAACCTAATCAACCTGGCAAGTTCCCAAAAAATACATTCTTATTTTGGTTGGGATCGTATTGAATCTGCTCATGTATCAATGTAAGGAGAGACTTTTTAATAAATTCTATCTGCTCACTTGATGTGACCCACTGTGGGGACTTGGGCATATTCTGCTTTTTAGATCCTGCTCCCTTCACCTTCTGGTATGCAGGGCACCTGACTGACAGACCATCTTTCAGACTTTGATGACAACATGATGGCAGGAGGCGTTTCTCAAGTAAAGAATTACCCTCTCCTTGCCTTAGAGGAATGACGCATTCAGAGGAGAAACTAAAACAAAACAAAACTCAAGCCAAAACACTAGTCCTGAGTCCCCTTCTATCTACTGCTGGGCTGCCGTGTGTTTGAATTTGGCGTGTCACCCTCTGACTCACTCATTTAACCCAGGGTACATAGATAGGACTTACCCTCCTGGGGAACAGATTGATTGCCCCACACCTGCTTGCCTCCGCCTCCACCCTCACTGTTCTTCCAGCTTGCTCTGAGGTTGCCTGAAGAAGCCAGGTACAAACAGGGCAGGTCATGCAGGTGGGCTGATCGGCTAGGAGGGGGAAAAAAAATGGATGGTCTAGAAAAATGAAACTGCTAAAATATCTCTGGCACCTGAAGAAGACTAACAAGATGGGGATGAAGGTCAAATATACATGGCAGTGAGACCCAGGATTCTGTCTAAAAAATGGGTCCTGTAACGAATGGAGGTAACACTCCAGGATGCATGGTGGCTGCCATTCCCAATATCCAGCGGGCAGTTCCACTGAGAAATACAGACCTGGCGATTCTGACCCACGCCAAAATGCTCCCAGTAAAAAGGAATCCAGAGCTGTAGAGCATTATGTCTGGTCGGTAGTGGCGGGGTTGCCGGTGGGGAGGTGGGGAGTAAAGGGGATTAGGAAGGGGGGCTAGGAGGAGGAGTGGGGAGAAAGAAGTTGGAGTTATTGAAAAGGGAACCAAGGCGGACAGGACGGCGGCCAGTAGATGGCCGGTAGGGCGCAGAGGAGGAGCTGGGTTTGGAGACCCACACAGGAGGGCAGGGGCAAGTGTTAGTGTTAGTCAGGGGAGGGAAATGAGTAGGGCGGGAAGATGAAACAGAGGCATCTCGCTGAAGAGTCTGCTGAGAGCTGACAGCTTTAGGAGAGATGGCAGGAAGGTGGCTTGCTGGAGCAGGGCGGGAAGGAGGAAGGCGGGAAGGAGGACGGGGAGGAGGCTGGGGCTTAGAAGGGGCAATTGGGGGAAGCTTTTTGGTCATTATCTTCTCTGACAACACTCCTAGTTACTCATTCACTCTCCAGGAGTCAAGTGAGTAACTGGACAAGTGCCCAGAGCTCTTCCAGCATTTATGTCACAGCACCCCTGCCCCCGCATCACCCTGTGACTAAATGCCTATTATGACATGTGCAGACCCTGCCTTATTGGTTAATGCATGAATCCCACTGATGAGGGTAATGGTCCTTTTATCTAGGATTAAGAGTGACACAAAGAATAGCAAACAGTAGAAAGGGGGCTGTTGTACTTGGTTTTGTTGTTGGGATAAGATAATATAGTTTTATTCCTCAGGAGACAAATATTAGACAAAGAGTTAGGATAAATTCAATTGTTTGTTAACTTTGAGTGATTCTAAAGCTAGAAGTGGGATATGGATTCCTTTTTTTAGTTATTTTTTAATGTTCTTTTTTCTTTTTCTTTTCAAATTAATATACAATTACTTGATCATGTGGTAGTAAAATGTTATTTTTCCAACTATGAATACTATGTGAATTATTAAAAGGGGTAATTGTTATACCCATTCTGTTAGCTATCATTACATAGTCTGTATATTCAACAGGCCCTATTTTAGGCACTCAAAACATTCAGAAATTTGGGCCTCGTTGTTGGCATGGCAGTTAAGATACTGGATTTCCACATGGCTGACCTTAGTTGGAGTCCCAGATCCTCGGCTTGAAAATCATGACAGACGTGTGTGTATGCATCCAAAATCCATAGAGGAACCTGAGATAGAAGAAATTGTTGCATGGCCATCTTCCTGGGAGGAGAAGGAGAATGATTTCTCACTTTCTGTCTCTCTTTCTGTCTTCTCTCATATCCCCTCTCTCTCTTTCCTTAAGCCGCATGAGAGTTCCAAGTTGGTTTCTGGCCCAACCTGAGTAAGCCAGGTGCTGTGACAAGTGTTTGTGGTCCTAACTAACAAAGATCCTGGCACGGGAGAATTGTAATATGGAAAGACCCTGTCAAAAATTTCTCTTTCTGTTTGTCTCTCTCATGAAAGAGAAAAAAAATAAAGAATGAGATTCAAAGTTCAAATTCAGTATGTGAAACAACAGACTCACATTTACTTCCCTCTTCTCATCACTGACTACAAACTGGCACTCATCTTTATCAGGCTGAAGGTGGAGGTTCTTCAAGAGATCAAATGCCCCTAAAGGAAAACAAACTCTTGAGTTTTGAAAGCATATAATTATAATGGCCACCTCTTTATCCCTTTAATGCAAAACCTGCCAAGAAACAAAGCCCACCAATGTTTACATTGCCTTCCAAAAACTAAGGCTCACCAAACATTTGAGTAATGTCTCAGCATGAGAGACACTGGAGTTAAAATGACATCATGGATATAATATAATAGAACTAGAGCAAAACAAAACAAAACTCTCCAAATCAATGAAACAAGGAGAAAAGCACTAATTTTTAAAAAAAATTTAAAAATTGGAATAAGTAAGAGCGCTTCAAAATAAGCAAAAGACTGGGAACCAGCAGTTAGCGTAATGGCTATGTCGCTAGACTCCCATGTAGTCGACCGCGGTTCGTATCCCGGACCCAGTGGCTTAAAACTCACGCCGGGCGCGTGTGCATGCGTGCCCAAGATCCCGAGAGGAGAATGGAGGAGAAGGGATTGCGGCGTGACCATCCCCCCTGGGGGGTGATTTCTCGCTTTCTGTCTCTATGTCTCTCTCTGTCTGTCTGGCGAGCGCACGCGCCCTACAGTGAAAATCTCTCCAAAAAAAAATAAAATAAAATAAGCAAAAGACTAACAAAAAATCAATAGAAGAACTAAAAATCTAAAATTTTTATAGGAAATCAATCCAGGATTACCAATACCTTAAAATATACACCTAAGAATTTGGAAAATTCAGGGACTAGCAGTTAGTGTAATGGCTATGTCGCTGGACTCCCACATAGTCGACCGCGGTTCACGTCCTGGACCTGGTGGCTTAAACTCACGCCGGGCGCATGTGTGTGTATGCCCAAGATCCCGAGAGAAGAATGGAGGAGAAGGGATTGCGGCATGATCATCCTCCCTGGGGGGTGATTTCTCGCTTTCTATCTCTCTGTCTCTGTCTGCCTGGTGAGCGCACACGCCCTATAGCAAAAAAAAAAAAAAAAAAACTCTCCAAAAAAAAGAAATTGGAAAATTCAAAAGAAAGGTTTTATCATAGGTCAACTTCCTAATGAGACAGACTCTGGGACTCAGAAATTTTGCAAGCAGGATGTTTACTGGGAAGTTCTTTGGGGAAGAACACCTTTGTGGCTTGAAAAAAGTAGAGCTAGGCAGAAAAAGAAGTTGAACTTTCCAGTGGGTGCAGTTTCAATAGAGACATTAGCACGTTTTACAAATAGCAAGATCTTGCTGGAGGTGCTGTCTCTGTCTCTCTGTCTCTCTTACTCATGAAAGAAAAAATTAAAATATAGCTTTAAAAAAAAGTACAGAGACCAGCAGATGGTGTTATGTTTACGTTGCTGGACTCCCATGTAGTTGACCGCAGTTCGAGTTCCGGACCCGGCAGCTTCAAACTCACACCGGACGTATGTGCATGCGTGCCCAAAATCCCAAGAGGAGAATGGAGGGAAAGGGACTGCAGTGTGACCATCCCCTCTGGGGAGTGATTTTTCACTTTCTGTCTTTGTCTTTCTCTGTTTATCTAGTGAGCACACATGCCCTATAGCAAAAATCTAAAATGGGGGGGGGGGGAGGACATACATCTATTCAAAAACGTTTTTAAAAGATAGAATTAAATTCATATATAATATCTTTGACTATCTGTTCAAACCCAAAGTCAGAAATAAATAAATAAACAACCACAAAAACAGGTAGAAGTTTGTATCCATGTCATTATCTCAGGTCCATGCTATTAAGTGCTGTGTATTTATTCTTACCTCCCTGGCCCTGATTACTCAGAAGCAATGGAATATGATGCGACAGGTGAAAATCTTTTAGGCAAGAAAGCATTTTGAAGGAACAGCAGATCTTTTGAGACACTGTGAGGTTACTGGCTACATCAAGCAAACACGATCAACAGTGGTGGCTCCAGTTTGTGGCAATGGGAACCTGAAAAAGGCACAGTCAAAAGCTCCAAGTAGTTGGGACCAGTAGTTAGCGTAATGGCTATGTCGCTGGACTCCCATGTAGTCGACCGCGGTTCGCGTCCCAGACCCGGTGGCTTAAACTCACACCGGGCGCGTGTGCATGCGTGCTCAAGATCCCAAGCAGAGAATGGAGGAGAAGGGAGTGCAGTGTGGCCATCCCCCCTGGAGGGTGATTTCTCGCTTTCTATCTCTCTGTCTCTCTCGGCGAGCCCACGTACCCTATAGCAAAAACCTCTCAAAAAAAAAAAAATAGTTCCAAGTAGCGTAACCAGAGTGAGAGGAAATATGACTCAAGAATATTTGAAGAAATGTTGTACTGTTTAAAGCTAAAAGAAAAAGAAGAATGGGTCCGCTGGTAGCACAAAGGATAAGGCACTGAATCTACATGGCCAACTGCGCAGTTCAAGTCCCAAACTCTGTGGCTTGAAAATCACACCAGGCACATGCACATGCATGCTCCAAATCCTTAGAGGACAATGTGGGAGAAGGGACTGAGGTATGACTATCCCCCGTTGGGGGTGATTTCTCACTTTATCTCTCTCTCCATCTTCCTATGTCTCTGGTGAGTCCATGAGCCCTATAGCAAACTAAGAAAAAAAAAGAAAGAAACAAAAGAGAAGGGAAGACAATACTAACTTTGTCTGCTGTTAAGCGAAGGGGAGACAGAGCTTGCCAAAAGCCCCTTGTTGCCATGGTATATTGGTAAATCACCACCATTCAGTATGTCAATTTCAACTTAACTCAAAGACACTCTTGTGACACACTAAATATAGGTGGCAACATGCTAAGAACTTCTAGGGATCTGTCCAAAACACCCAGGTTAATTTTACATCATCTTGCTGAGGTTGCTGGAACCATCTAGATGAAATCCGTGGATCAATGCAGAACCTCTCATGGGTTTTGTATCTACTCACCAGGGATAAGAGAATTGTTTTAGTAATGGAGAGATGCCCTCCGGCTCTCATGCAGCTAGAGAAGCCAGATTTTTCATGGGGCCTGAAAGCATAACAATCATTTTATTTCAATAATTTATACCCCATGTACTTTCCACTATGTGCTATAGTTGGCCCAGCAGCAGGTCTTCATTGGGTAAGAAGCCATGTTTACAGTGCTCTCAGCCAAGACTAGAGAGAAAAGTAAGTTTAAAA